ATTGTTTTAGTGATTATGCAAACAAAAAGTCATTTTATTTGTTGTTTGTTGATTTTTAAATATAAAACTTGGTGAAGTGATTTATGTGTCGGTACTTTTTTAACATCTCCAGCACACTTGAACAATACCGTGATAATACCGATAACCGTGATAATTCTGGTCACTATAACCGTGATCAGAAATTTTCATACCGTTACATCCCTATATTACATGAAATGTATTAAAAATTGTTGCTGCTCCAATTAAACTCAGTGTGCTATCTTTAAGCTCTTCTGCACTGAATGTCTATGTAAATACTTCATAAACAGACTTTAAATATTAAGTGATGGTTGTCACTTTAAGTTAAGTTAATCGATTTTCTATGGAATCAGTCGACTCAAATCTGCAGACTGGCTCTGACCTTTGGCAACTAGCATCAACTTCTCCAGACTGTTAATCAGTGGAAAATTGGGGCAAAAATCGTGCAGTGTATTCCAGCCTTAAGAGAATATAGATAAGTTGACATCAATTTAATAAGAGGCTTCAAATTGAGGCTAGTTTCTGTGTTCATCCCCATGAATGAAATGTTTTATTGGTTTGTTTTGTTATTTGATTTTTGAATGTGTTACTTAGCTGAACATGGACTAGTATAGATGCTGCAATGTGCTTAAATGACACTTCACTATGAATATATAACTGATCATATTGAATGCCTTGTTGCTTGATTTTAGCGTTGTTTTTTTGTGATTGACTTTGTACCTTCAAAAAATATTTTTCAATTATTCTTTAAAAAGGTTGTTTAAAATAAACAAGAATTTTTAATAAAACATGATGCGAGCTTAATGGGAACAGGGAGTGCTTAAAGGGTACAAAATGTTTTGCATTTAATGATGTATATCTTAATTGAGAGATTAATATTTTATTTTAACATAACTTTTTGTACTGAAACCAATATCTTGTGCTCTAAAAATGTCTCAATGTAGATTTTGGTGAGCTTAATAGGTACGTTTACCCTAATGTTTCATATCAGTCGGTATTGGTAATTATTGAAAAACATTTTTTAATCAAAGAGCAGAAGAAAAAAAAAAGTTTAAATTTAACCACTGCATTTTTAATTTACCCAGTTTATTAAGACAAACAACAAATTATTTTAGTTTTATCAGTTAAACACAATAAAATACAAATATCCCCTTTCTTATATTTTATATGCAAATTAGTGTTAAAGAAATTTTTGGCCTGTCTCCGGAGGGCATGAGCAAAACAATGAACCGCATTAAATTGTTTATTCAATGCAATGAAATAACAACCATCTATAAAAAAGTGGATAATGTCTAAACTAACACATATAAGTCAAATATAATTTCGTAAACTGCATAAGCAATTATGAACAAAACAGCATCATGTATTTATGCTTAGCTTAATACAAAAATCCGAAGCGCCGATCACACAGATTGTATTTAATTCAGAGAACACGAACACATGTTAAAATGTGTGCTGTGCCTGCCTGCGTTGAAAAGATTGAGAATAAAAAAAACTAATATTAGTCAAATTTCAAAAAAAAATTTGCTTTCGAATGCAAAAACTGTGCATTTGAATTTTAGGTGTGCATCCGGGAGCCTTATCAGCGGCGCATGAGATGCGGTGATGATGATGTAAGTGTCGTTGTTGTACTTTATCATTACTGTTACTCCTAGCACGCACTAGCGTACCAAACATTTTTTCTATCGTTATCGATGAAGGTGTACTATCGATAATAATGATACTGTTTTACCGCCCAGGCCTACGGTCAGTATACAAATTCATTAACCAGACTGCAATTTCATAATGCCAATTTTGTCATTTGTTTCATGCTTGTGTATTTCACAGATGTCCAGTTGAGTCCTCTGCACAAACTGACTCTGCTGCAGACTGGAATTGAACTGCTGGTTTCGTCTGGCCAGAGGTGAACTGGCCCCCGACTGAACCTGGTTTCTCCCAAGGTTTTTTCTCCATTCTGTCACCGATGGAGTTTTGGTTCCTCTGGTTTGCTTAGTTGGGGACACTTCATTTCCAGCGATATCGTCGACTTGATTGCACAGATACTATTTCAAATGAACTGAGCTGGACGATGACATCACTGAATTCAGTGATGAACTGCCCTAGTGCCTTTAAGGCGAGACACTGCAGGTGAATATGGTAAAAAAAAATAACTAATAGTTATCGCCTTACTTACCCAACTGATTGATTACATTGATAATTGCAAACCTTTTTTGTATTACAAGTTTTCTAAAATGTTAGGTTTAAATATGCAAATGAGTCATTATTTAATAAAATATGCGCTAATTTGCATACATTTCTAGTACAAAAGTCTAAACACTGGATTATGTCAATTTCAAAATTCTTGTTTAATTTTTTTGACATATTAGAGTCAAAAGTTTTTACAGAGGGAATTTTGGGTATCTCATTTTTGTCACTCCATAATTCAGAAAATGCTTACAACGGACAGAAAACACTATATTTTCACAATTTCTTGGGGAATAAAATGTTATATATAATCAAGCAAATTATATATGAACAAATTCCTCAGTAAAAATCTTCAGGATATAGACAGGAATAAAAATGTAAAGTTTGGTGTGTGTAAGTTCTACTGAAGTGGAGATTTAAGGCTCAGTGTTGGAGAAAAAACTCATTTTGAGAAAACGGCCTTTAAAAATATGTATTGTAATTGAAATCTATTGACACAAATAGATAAAGTGCTATAAAAGAAACGCTTAACAGTGTCTTTTGGATGTTTTCTTTCCACTAGTCTGAAAAAACACTTTAAGAAAACCCAAAAAGCCCAAAATCTCAAATTTGACAGGTGCATGAAAAAACAGTGCTTTTGCCAGCAGTGTCTCCCCTTAACTGAAAACTGAGTGTTTACTATTGTCCTTTTGCATTATTGACACACTATTTTCCTATTTAATACTGTAAAGCTGCTTTGACACAATCTGTATTGTTAAAAGCGCTATATAAATAAAGGTGACTTGACAGTTCATGAAGAAAGTCACACTACATGAAAAAATACACATTTTACTCATGCAAGTTTTACTTGAAGTTGTTTAAAATAATAAAATGAAAAAAGTAAAAATAATAAAAATAAAAAAAAACACGGTCCATCCAGATGAATACATCAAAGAAAAGAAAAACGGCATGAAGACTGTCATGTCATGTCAGCTGCCCATATATAGAGTGTCATGTCATGCTAGAGTGACAAGTCGTACTTTGGTTTGTTCCCGCTGCACCTGACAGAACGGGCTGGAGCTGGCTTTCATCAGACACACATGGTGACCTGGCACAGTTTAAAGACGGAGAGGAGAGAAGATAAATCAATACTCATCCAGGATAAACAGCACACTGAAGGGGGATTACATCAACTCTCGAGGAGCGGCCAAAACACATCCATTCCTCATGAAACACAGTCGAAGAAACATCGCTAACTCTTCCAGCCAGCTGACAGTGAGCGTTAGCACTGTACTGTGAGACCGCACTTAACCGATGACTTGGGTTCAACTCACTTAATATATCTAGTAGGGGTGCTCCCATCAGGATTTTTGAAGCCAATACCTATCACCGATACCGATCTTTTAAAGCCTTCTTTTTATAATTTATAACTATTTATATTGATACTCCAATCAGGATTTTTAGACATTTATTCAGGGCCTGAATTTCATTTTTGAAAACGGGGGGAATTCTCCTCTTAGGTGACTCTTGTGAGAGAAGCAGCTTTCACACAGGAGTCCACTACTGATCCGTGTTTACCACAAACACAACATTTATCCATTAGTTTGATTTCAAATCCAAACAGTCACCGAAAATGCTTTTTCAGCATTGCAATTCTTTTTTTACACAGTACAGTAATACAATCTTTCACAGACATGTTTAAACAATAAATATAAGCAACACATTATTCAATGCCTTTTACTTTTGCATTTACTTTTAGATTTATATATTAAGTTGCTCAAGCAAGTGGCAAAACATTTAAACTACTTTTCTTAC